TGGGTTGATTCTAGTAGTGGTTCAGAGTGGGCTCAGAGGACGGGAGTCGAAACGTCGCACCAAGTCATGAAAACCACAACACGCCGAAGGCTGCGTGGATTCATCGTTTCATATCGTTCCGGCTTGGGATGTAGGTTTGCCGTTTACTGCTGTTTACGGTCAACACAAGGCCGAACAACGGCTTACAAAAAGAATGGAGAAACTGCTCAAGTCACCTTGTTGCTAACGCTGAAGGTGTCGGAGGCCGAAGCCAAAGCCGCAAAAGCCGCAAAAGGCCGCCCCTAGGCACAAAGGACAAACAGCCGCAAGAGCCTAAAGGACAACAAGAAGCAGACAACACCCACCCAACGATAAACAACATCTTGAACAACATCCTGAACAAAACGGCTCTCCGAATAGAACCCATTTATCCTCTACGCAAATCACACCACAAATAAAGTTAGGAGGCTGCAATGCGTGGTACGGCGCCGCGGGGCCCCGTTATCCCAAGCGCACGTCACAGAGGGCGACAAAGCTTGAGCGCTCTTTCCGCGTCTGAAAGGCAAAAAACAGTTTAACAAATTGCACAGTCAGCCGCATCATGCACACGAATTTTGACTTGGTGTGTCGCTTCTTCCTACCATCCTCGCTATACAAAACAAATGAGGCCAAATGGCATGCCAGTGAAAGTTAGCTTCACTTGTCCGAGGATGGAAATGGTGAACACCTTCTGCCACTGCCACCTTTGTGTCCCGAAGAACGCTTTTGGCGCCTGCCTCAATCAGCAGCTTCCGGGATGTCCGGTAGCAATTCCGGGAAAACTGACGGTCGTCCCGTCTGGATGGGCTTAGTTCTGAGTCATGAAGCCGTCTGGAGCCTTCAAGTTCCCACGAACACTTTTCGCACAAACCAATCCGCAGAGTGCTTGAAAGAAAGCTGCCAACACAAGGTGGCCAGGAATCTGTTGCCTGCATGTAGTTTGTGAAGAACGCCTTCGAGAGAATGCCCAGCGGTGAGCATAGAGGGCCTTTGTGCTCAAACTAAGCAAATTCATGGGATATGAACGCAAAGGGACCAAATAAGCCTTGAGGAGAATGTTCGGAGGTTGAACAACTTCAGGGCAAGTGTCGCAGTGTGCTCGCGATCAAACCCATTGAGCGGGACGGCCTCAAAGGACAAACGCCGGCAACCTCAACCCACGCCGTTTGGGTGGTGGGGAATCGTTTGCCCATCTGCTTCTGTACTTCCAAGCTCGGCATGCGGACGCATGCGACGTAAAAAAAGTTGACCCAGCTCAGCACCGAAATGAAGTAAGCAAAGCTCAAAACCCATTGCAGTTCGGCCAATGTGGTCCGGCAAATCTGCACCATTTCACAGCTCACTCGTCAAGCCTGGGTTTCGGGCACTCAGCATATCTGACGGAACGATGATGCCGACGTCAGAAGGGCCACTGCTGCGCCTATTGGTCCACCCGGGTTGAGATGTGCTTGCATACATATATACTAGGTCCTCCAGTAGAGAAGTTCGAATAAGGGCACCCTTTTTTCTGTAGTCTATTCTAGTAGGGGAACCCTCCCCAAAAAAGGGGTTCAGAAGGGCACTACAGGGGGACCTAGCATACCAATCGCCATTTCAAAAGCCACCACAGAATTGAAGAACCACAACCCGCGCGTCATTTAAACACACTGACCAGCAAGCTGCGCGGCTCGCTCGCGAGCCGCTTGGGGGCACTCAGCATGGCTGTGGCACCTGGCCTCGATGCCTTCTGCGTTGGCTCAAAGCTTTGGGCCCAGGCCGATCGGACTGGGAAGCCTTGGCCTGGTACCCTCTCCCCCCCCAAACAAAAAAAGAAAGAAACACATAAAAGAAGAAGAAGGAGCTACAGCATGCCTTTTCTTGGCCCAATTTTTGCAGAGATTTTTGCCAGACTGACGACGCAAAGCTTTCATTTAGGCGCTCACCGCGAGCGAGTTTGAGCTCGAGGTGGCCAAGGTGGGGGCAAGCGGCGGGGTCGTCAATTCTGCTGCATCCTTCGGGATGTCAAACTCTCCAAAGGTCTCCTTCAGCTTGTGCTGCAAGCCTCTGGTCAGAAAAAATCGGAGAGTCTGCTTCCATGTGAGTTGTCGTTTGGACAAAAATATGTCCAGTAGTGATATAGTCGCTTGGAAACAAGGGAAAATGCACATATTCTTAGGCAATTGGAAGTCTGGGAGTTAGCTGAGATAGCAATCCTGATTACATCTCGGGTCCGCCCCCGAACCGCACAAGTAGGAGCACGAACACAAACACCAAAAACAAACAAGCCACTTTTGTTTTTTTTTAGAGAAAGATGCCACAGCTGCAAGTCCCTGATAGCCAAAATTGCTGGCCGTTTGGCTGACTCCAGACCGTCAAGTCTCTCCCCTCTCTCTCTCTCTCTCTCACAGTGCTATCCCGCAGGTCCACATGAGGAGCACTCTTGGCCCTAAGAATGGATTGGATTCTGCAGTGTTTTTACCGATCGATGGATCACCCGCCCTTTTTTGGAAAAGTCTCCGTTTCAGCCCACAAGACAAGGGCGGCATGTGTTTGTGCCTCCTACAGGGTTCGAAGAGGGGTCTAGAGGTTTGATAACCTCCCAAAATAGCACGCAAACCGCCAGTGGTGCCCTTTCTTTTCTTGAGGGTACGGTCAACTACCCGAAAAGGGCGGGCGACCTTGTTCCGCGTGGAAATCCTCTCAAGGTCTGGGAAAAAAAAGGTATATTTTCGTCTTGTACGCTGTGCGAGGACTGCGTTGATCCAAGCTTTGGCAGCGTTTGCCTAAGCGCTTCATCGTCATGTTAAGGTGATTGAACCTGATTCGGAGGATAAACAACAACCTGACACCTTCGTGCGCACCAACAAGCCTGCTGAGAACCTCACAAGAAGAAGAAGCGGGTACGAAGGTTTCGCCTGAGTGAAGCGCCTCTTGGTGGACAGCATTTAGGGAGCTGATGTCCGCTACTGTGGATGGACGAAATCCTGCACCAATCCATGGAACCATGGGAAACAGTTTTGTTGGCAGTTACAGGGGAATCAGCCTTTCAGGGTTTGCTAGGCTCTTGACTGGTCCTGCCGCAAGTTTTGCTTTGCAACCCAAAATGTGCAATCCCCCTGAAGGGCCCCAGTAGCCTCCAAGAAAGTTCCGAGATGATTTTGCAGCGCGAAACCCAGAGGCAAAGCTACGCAGACCTTGAGGTTGGAAGTCAATTGCCTGGCTCAGGCAACGTTTGTGAGCATACCGCTTTTCCAAGCTCAATTCCACCACACGCACACTTTAGCCGCTCGTAAAGCAGGGTAAGCGAGTTTGTGTGCAGTGCAAGGCTGTCCAGTTTGACAGGGCAAGGACAAATTCCTCCGAGAAGACATGGAAAGATTAGAGGTCGTCCGCCTTCTGGTCCCTCCACAAATGGACTATAGACAAATCAGGAAACTTTACCCCTACATGCGAGAAAATAGGGGACTTCAAAAATGGTGGTCGTACTTTTGGCATCCTTTTCTTTTTCCCAAGGTGAAAGCGGTACCCTCAAAAGCTTGTTGGCTATGTGCCCGCTACACAAAAGGCTTGACTTCTTGCCTCATGGGAAACCACACTTTTTCCAGTGCCCGCTGCACAAAAAGCTCGGCTTCTTGCCACATGTTAGGCCACACAATTTCCAAAGGAAATAACATGAGGTTAAGAATCCAACCTGTAAAAGCTGCCTGATCGCATGTTGAGGCGCGCTTCTCGAGCATTCTCTGGAACGGGGTCTTGTTGGCGCTGCCGGCCCGCGGCATCGCCGGTGGCAGCTCGTTCGATTGGCGAGTGGCTCCGCTCCCCATGGCGAGTTTCTGGCTCGCGCTTCGCAGAAACTTCGTGCCGAAAGACTTCGCCTTTTCTACGTGCTTTTGTATTTCACCCTGGGAATACACCCTGGTATTGACCCCATTTATGCACATGTCCGGATTAAACCGTGTTATTTTGAATCATTCTGGGACATTTCCCAAGGGTGCAATCCCGGGGTGTAATTCAAAACCCTTCAGACATTTGCACCACGTCTTCCCAGAAAAATCCGGGCCACGTACCCTGTGAGCTGGCTAGGGATGCAAGAGAGGTTCTCATACCTCCTCAGAAGATACTCCAGGTTCAAGGGGAGAAAACTTAGGGTGTGTTGCGCGGAACATGTTGGGCCCTTTTTTATATATGGGGAAAAGGTAAAGCCTTAGGGTCTACCGGCCCCCGAAACATTCTGCCCATTGGAACACGTGTCCTAAAATCGGGACCCAACACCAATGCTTGGTTTCCTTTTGGTTTCCCTTTAAAACCACTCCAAACGGAGTAGTATCCTCAACAAGAAAGATGCACCGAATTTCAGCTTCGAAATTGCCCTAACTCTAGCGGCACGGGGCGATAGACGTTGGCCACATGCAGGTACCTCACTTCCGTGGATTGGCCAAGCAAAGTCCGAGCCTGTTCTATGCCCAAAATGGCTTGCAGTCGATTTGAAGCACGGAGTCCTGACAACCCCCTTCTTGCTTGATTTTGCCTTGTGCATTCTCACACATCCAGGGTGCAAATTACATTGCCATGTGAATACCCGCCCATATGCCAGCAGAAACTGCTAGGGAACTAGCAACCTGCAAACATGAGATCCACCCAAAAACCCATACCCTGTCTCCCGTCTCAGTGGCCTGTGCGGGGACCCGTGTGTAACGAGTCTCCCTGTTGGCTGAAGGGAGTCGCTGGGTTTTCCAAATGCAGCGAACAGAACCTGCATAGTTTAGGCTCAGGTACTTGCGCATAGGTGTCCTTTTAGGTTGGAAATAGAAGGCCCTGGTAGATGATTAAACCACATGGTAAACCAGGGCCATCCATTGTTCCACCAAAACAACCAAAAAGGACACCATATACGTGCAGCTATGCCACCTCAAACAGCTCAAAACCTCTCTGCGTTGACTAGCCAAAGGGGCCAAATCGGAGAAGCCACCGGTGGCTGCTCCAAGGACGGCATTTGGGGTCACTGGAAATGACCTTCTTGGCCCTGTCGCTGCCAGTCCTCGAGCCAGGGAACTTTTGGCCATGCTTCGTCTCAAATAGGAGGACCCCCATACTTTTGTGGCTTCCAATTACACCCAAAACAAAAAACTCGCCCATACACTGATTCAAGGCCAAAGAAACACGTCATTGCCACCCAGTGACGGGCCGTTGGGGACAGAAACTGCTTGTGGCTGTGAACCAGTATTGATTTGCATTGGACCTTTGGGACTGAGTTGGCCCTGACGGCCCTACGCATGTCTCGTTCTTGCGCCTAACCGGCCACTGGAAGGGAACATAGGCCAACCGGCCACGACGAGACTTGGACAGCAGGGTCCACTGGTCCACCGAACTCTTATATGCATGTTTCATGAAAAACATCCAGCTGAATTTTGGGGGCTGTAAGAAACAGTGGCCTACATCATGAGCTTCAACTAAAACAGGCAAGCCCATGGCAAGCGTATGGACCCCATGTTCCAACATGTTTTCATTGACCTGAGCCAAAGGTGGGTCCCACTTGGTGGGGTCTGGCACCTTTCAGCGGATCTCAAACTCCGTGTTTTTTTTTGTGTTCCCAACATGCGACGCCAAGTGGCGTCGAAAGGGGGCAACCAAAAGGAGAACCGAAGCCATCTTGGATGGAAGCCTAAAAAACAAGTGCCATACCCAAATGTTCTAGGGGTTGATTCCCCATTATTTGGAACCCTCGTTCTCTTCAAACACCGATCGCCATTTCAGGGTTTTGGGCGGTTTTTCAGACAGAAGATGCCTAAGAATGGAAATGGGGAAGCTACCCCCAGAAATGTGGATGGTTCCAGCAGGTGGCTGTTGTTTCTGTCTGCTTTACTGGGCCCAAGTCACTAGACACTCAAAGAAACCATCAAAAGGACCCCGTTCTCCGAGGTTCCGGCCACCAGCACCGTGGCGCGGGGCTTGGCCAAGATCAGCGCCTAGAGCTGCCAACAGGAAGCGATCCAAAGCCCCCGTCCGGCTCAGGTACCTGGCCCTGGAAATAAAAGGTTCACCTTTTGGGGCCATGACTAGAAATGGAAGACTGGAACACCAAAGGATCAGAAGGTCGGCTTTGGACAAGTGAGCCAGGGGAACCTCAAAGGTCTCAAAAGTGTCAAGCTTTGGGCTTTGATTTGCAGTTTGGAAGGCATAGCAGCATAGTCAGCATAGTTCTCAAGCGCCAAAGGTTGCGCGACGGTTTCATGCTTTCTCCCCTGAAGGAACAGGAAACAAAAGGTTAACCTCAAAACCAAAAGGATGTTGCAGTGGCCTTTCTTCTTGCAAGACGACGCGCGCAGTTCTGGTGCCGGCTTGTCTCTGAATGTGCGCTTCTCGGTGAGGAATGGAAACAACTAAAAAAAACTTATTGATTAGCAGAGGGATCCCCTAGAAACACCGGAGCCTGAAGACAACAACCGACAAGAACACCAAAACTCAAACCATGAATCAAACCATAAAAGTGTAACCAAAGATTACCCGGCAACCGTCCTCCAAATGGCAAATCATGACAACAGCGGTGTCACTGTTGTGCAGCATTTCGCATGATCTTGCCCCTGCGTAATTTGGGCCGGCGGTTAAATCTGGGTTCCTCTGGACACTAAATGGGAAGGCACCCCTACACCCAAGCCACCGAGCAACGTTTCTGTTTTTTATACAGCTGGCATGCGCTGGCATGCTGTACGTCTCATAGGGCTGCACCTGAAATGGGCACTCCCCTTCTTCGCAAACACGCAACAACTGAAAAAACCTAACAACGCCCCTGTCCCTGATTTGCCTGAAGCCATGGACACGAACGAGCAAGCGACAACTCAACCATCGAAACCATTCCAACCCGGTCAGAGTCTTCACCAAGTAAATGGGAAACCAAAGGCGCACAAGCCACCCCAAACTCAGGCACCCAGAAAAAACAATCTACATATATGTATGAATGTATATATACATATATATTTATACAATGTCTGCTTTTCAGTTTTGGGGGGTTCATCTAGAAAGGCAAACCCATATGGGGTTGGCAAACCATTTTTTATGGTTGGAACACCTCGAAATAGGCAGTTTTGAGGTCCGAAGATTCGTATCGGAACCACCACAAGAAGGGTCCCCAGTCCCTCCCAAATGGGTAATGTTGACCCAGGATTATTGATAAGCCCGTCCCAAAATTATTATTTGGGTGTCTGAATCCCCACTAAAAGGGGACACCCCCCCTATTCATCAACCAGTTGTTTGTTTGTTTGTTTTTAAATCCGGGGTTAACATTACCCCAGAAAAACGAGTCACGCTCTGTCCCGTGCATCCAGGAGTTGCAGCACGTTGGCGAAAAGGCCTCCAGTTCGTTTTCAGATCGACCGCCGTTCGGGCATCGGAAACGTTGGAAATGGAATAAGGGGAAATGTGCGAAAATGAGAAGACCTGCAAAACAAGCAAACAAGCAGACAAACAAGAGATAAATAGGCACAAAAACAAACAAGCAAACAAGCAAACAAGCAAGCAGGCAAGCAAGCAAGCAAACAAGCACTCAAACAATCGAACAATACAATAACAAGCACCTTATCGATATATTTGCATCTTGCATGCGGCGGGTCACGCAGCAAGAACAATCCATCCCCCGGAAATCAGAATGCCCTTCAAGTATGCAAGGGCACAGGGCAGCCCTTGCAAAAGGGCGTCTATGCAATTTCATGGGGCAATGTTATCAATAGGCCAATAGGGCAGATGGGGCCCCTTTGTAAAACTACATGGATTTCCGGTCTTTCTACAATGTAATCAATGACTGCACAAATGGCACTCGGATGGGTGCAATCTTGCCGAGCAGGCCCTCACACAGCTGAACACGACGAACCAGCGATGATCTGGTGAACACAAACGCAAACCATCGGCGCAACTCAACCAGCAGGGGTGACATGTTAGGCTTCCTGTCAGATCCTCGCAGCCAGGCGCGTGCTTGCCAAAACCGGAAACCATGGGGGAGGGATGCATTTTTGTTTGGCAAGATGCCACAGATCCCCAAGCGGAATTGGCTCACTTCCTGAGCGCATTGGCCAAACCGAGTCCTGCGCTTTGCATTTACCGCTAAAAACCCAAAGGAGAGGGAAACACAGTTTTCTCAACAACGGGGGAACCCGGGACCTTCAAAGGAACGAACCCCGCCGTGACTGCGACCTCTCCCTTAACCTTGTGGCAGCGCGTGCAACGCGCTCTTTTCTTGAGCCTTGAGCCAAAGCGACATGTGATCATGTCATGCTTGGGCATTGAATTGATTGTGCAGCAACATGCTGCAAGTCATCTGACTCATGAAACCTCTGGGCCATAAATGTCATCGTGATAATTGACTCCCCCCTCATTGACGGCACTGAGGGAGTGTCCTGGGCGCATTACCACGCCAACTTGAAGTCAAGTTTACATCACAACGACTGACGCAAGTTATTCAAGCATCGCCCAGTCACTTGCACACTTTTGGAAATTTTGCAGACATGCTGCAGCGCACTAGGCAGCTGCTTTAGCGGATCTACTTTCACGAACGTCTTCAAGCTTCTCTGGAAGGTCAACACGAATGCCGAGCAACCGGATGGCATGGTCCCACTTGTTGGGTGGAAGTGCTTTCGTGAAGATGTCTGCTGACTGCATGTCGGTTTGGACGTATTCTATCGAGATGTGTTCGCTTTCAAGCTGCTCTGCGATGCACGCGGGGTTCACCTTGTGGGTGCGCTGGACACAGCGTAGCTTGGATGAGAAACCCTTCTTTGCTACGAGGATAGTCGCCTGGTTGTCCTCGTGGATCTTGAGATGGAATGGTCTGTCCAAGATCAGCTCCCATAAGCTGAGCGCAGGAAGCGCCTCCTGGTAAAGGGAGTACGCTAGAGATACGATCTCCGCCTCGGTTGTCGATCGGGAGACCGAGGTCTGCCTTTTAGACACCCACGCCAGGGGGAAATGCGTATGTGGACCACTCAAAGTCAAGAATCCTCCGGACGTTGATTTTGCGTCTCGTTCTCCAGCGAAATCGGCGTCCACATAGAGAGACAGATGCAACTCATCAGTCGAATCCTGAACTGTGCCAACTAGCGTGCTGTTGACCGTGCTGTTTATGTAGCAGACAAGCCTATGTAGCTGCTTATCGCAGTTCCTAGACCATTTCTGAACAAATGAGGCAAGGTCGCCAATGGGCTTGACCAGGTCTGGGCGCGCCAAACGGCCGAGCCATAAGGCTTTCATCAACACGCGGCAAGCGGCGAAGCCGAGCTCACCCTCCAAGGCGTCGTCTGCAGGATCTAGAGATCCAGCGGGACAGAATGGAGTGGTGGCATCACGCAACTTTTCAGTTTTTAGCTGTGCAACCTCAAGATATAATGCAACCGTTTGACGAGCATAATCTCGCATGTCGAACGCCATGCCCCCTTTCAATCTGCCCATCGCGGCATTAAGATCGGGTTCATTTGGGTCCTTTGGAGCATCTATCAAAAGGTGATTCCTGCCTAGCACCCGATATATGTCTTCTGGGGGTTCTATATCAACCAGTCTTGTTAACTTTTCCCAGAAGTCTTTATGAAGGTGGCTGGGGCCGGCCAACGTCAAGTCGTCGACGTATGTCGAGAGAAGTAACCCGGACTCCTTGAACCAGAAGTTTCCAGGAAATTCTGCGACCTCACGCACTCCAAGTTCACTAATGAAACCTTTGAGGTGTGCCTCCCAGAGTCCGCCAGCGTCAGGATGCCCATAAAGAGCTTTAACGAGCAAAACCACAGGTTTCACGAAACGCTCGCGCCACCACCTTGGCCGGAGCTCAGGCGGGAGTGTGATCCAAGTTTGGTACTTGGACTTCAGCAGTGCTTGCACATAAGCCTTTGTAGCGTCCGCTGTTGTGGTGGAGTTCCCTGGCAGGGATCCATAAGCGAGACAGTTATTAAGACCTTGTACGCTCGTGGGATTTGCTCCCAGTTCTTGGTAGACGGCTGCTGCGCCATGTTCGTCTTTCGCACAGTCTCCGCGATACACAATCCTGCCTTTCTTCTGAAGGTGTTTCGCGAGTTCGGCGAACTTGACGGATGCTAGCGACATCAACTGCCCGAAATGGACTTTTATACTGGATCGTCGCGCCTCAGCAGCGACTTGATCATACTCTCGGACTGAATTTAGATCCCAAACCCCGGCTTTCTCCAGGCCCGTGGCTTCAAGTCGAACGGCTTCAAGGGCTTCCGGGGAAGCCAACATTTCGGCACGTGACAAGAGTCTGGTCACCATTGCGGTGATTTCAGGATCCTTCTCTTCCTTGACTTGTCCTAGGGAATGTGCGATGAGATTTTCAACATCAAGAACTTGTTCAAGAATGTTGTGACATTTTTCATCGGACTCAACAGCAACACCTATATCTTCCAAACCGGAGAGAGGGGATATGTGTTTTAGCTGCTGCTCACGTTCCCGGTGATCAAGAGGCAATGGCACTTGGACAGGCATCGCAGGCACAACGGGCTGAACTGTCGGATACAGCGCACGGGCAACTGTGAGACACATGCCTTCGGGGTAGAAAGCGGTCTTTGCGGTCTTGTTACCTGCTGCAAGCGAATGTTTATACCCTTTTTCGTGCGGACACTTGAATGCACCTAGCGCAAAGGCGAGTGTGCTGTTGCTGGTCATGACTTTCCATGGCTTTTTGATGGGATAACCATTGCTGTCCTTCAGACCTAGGGCGCAACCGTGGAAGGTCGCTGGGGTGAAGACTTGTGCGTATTCCCTAAAGAATGCAGAAACATCATCCCCAGCCCAGCTGTCGCAATCCCTTGGCTACCCCCCTGATGGAGGACAGTCTCTGCGTGACGTCTGAATCTGGAGAACAACTCTCTCGACTCTCTAACCTTTTGCTTCAGTTTCTTTTTGAACTGGCTTCCTAACTTGGCCTTATTAAGGCGTTGCCATGCTGAACCTGATGCGCAGGGGATTGCAGCCCAGAGATTGGGTTTGTCACAACCTTCAATCTGCGACTGCAACTGGATTTCTCCTTCATCTGTGCTAAGGTCGATAAACTCTTTAGCCAGCCTAACATGAGGTATGCCAAGACCTTCAAACACGCGACCCATATTGGACTCTGGTGAACATGCGTATTCGAACATCACAGGCAACTTATCAATGCGTGCCTGTCGCTTGCGGGCACGATGATTTCCTACCTCAAACTGCTTGGGCTGCGGAGCTTCGACCTCTGCGCCGCACGGCATGCCAAAAATTGGCAATGTATCTGGACGACCGTTCCTTGACGCTTCGGTGAGAGGTGTTGGCGGTACGGAGTCTAACATCACGGCTGCACCTGTGGTGATAACGCAATCGGACTGAATGGGTTTTAACTTGAACACTGTGAACCCGGTCCATGGATCTCCAAGTGAGCGATTAGGTCTGCTACCAAACCAACCATCGTGAATGTTGTCTGCTTTGCCCCCCTGAAACACGGCACGAGTGGTGCGAGCTGCAGTAAATCTTTCTGGGGAAACGGGGCAATCCTCGACCTCCTTCGGGGTAAAAAGATTCTGCCTTGGCATGATATGGTACCAAACCAAACAGTTGGCATTTTCTTTGAACACCCAAAGATCTTCACCTTGCGATGTAGCGGCTGTCGCTGGCGCGGAATCGAAAAATGAGGCACCGGGTCTTGAGGGAGCGGGCTCCCCAGCTTCGGCTGCATCAAATTCATGCGCAACATCTTCTGCAGTAACGGCGATTTTAGGATCTTTCTCGTGCTCGGATGCGTGGATTGCCCTGGCTAGCTCCTCATCCCCTTCAGTATGAACAATGGGAATGGGTTCCTTAGATTCAGTTTTGGCAGCGCTTTTTGCAGCTGCTTCAGCTCGATCTGCAGAAACAAGTTCGGAGAACCTCTTCTTGCATTCGGCACTGTGAATCTTGGAATGACTAAACGTATGCAACGAATAGGGCAACCCTGATTGCAAGTGGATGCTACGACAGCATTCCTTCTCTCCGCGAATGTCGCGCTCCAGGACGGTGTTGTGAGGCCACCTGTTGGGCAAGCTTGTCTCTGGGACGAGACCGACTTCGTGGGCCGCTCCTTCGAGCTCTCCTGCTGCATCCATTTTTATTAGACATGCTGGCGGCGAATCAGTGGCCCGAAGGCCCATGAACTGACGGAAGTTTTTAACATGCGCTTGCGTGTCTCGCCTACTCACAGGGTATGCAAGGCGAACGCCTGAGAAAACATCACGTACTACATGGTGGGATTTGATTCCTCCGAAACCTACTCCGAGATGTTCATCGCCCATGGCAAGAATCACAGAATCGGTAGCCAACTGTTGAAATGGTGCGGTTGGGACATCGACTTTGTCG